GGAACCGCTCGCAGAGCTGGAGACGAGTAGCGCGGATCCAAGGGATCAAAACACCAGGGACATCCCCCTTGCGCTGCAAGGGGAAGACCGTGGTGTAGCGCGTGTAGTCGTCGACAACCAGCAGGAAGTACCGCTCGTGGCCCTGTCCACGGACGCGGGCTGGGCCCCACACGTCCAGGTGGAGAGTCTGCAGTGGAGCCTCTGTGGGAGGGAACGAGGAGGAGTGAGGAGCGGGTCGCTGCCGCCCCTCGACGCAGGGAATGCAGGGCGGCGCAGGCAAGGGAGGGAGGGGAGGCAGAGACCTGGGAAGACCAGAAACCAGGAAGCGGGAGTGCATGCTGCGTAGGCGAGGCAGGGAGGGGTGACCAAGGCGGTGGTGCCACAAGAGAGTGTCGTGCGACAGCCGGCGACACTCACACTGTGTAGCTACCTGAGCAGACGCGTGCAACTGGGGAGACAAAGGGGCGGAGCGTGACGCAGTGGTGAGGGTGTACAGACTGGACCCTGGCGCACGAGCGAACGTGGCCAGGTGGCGACCAGTCTGGGAGCACGTGCAAATCGCCACACGCTGCCGGCCAGGGGTGAAGGTGTCAACCCCCGCATCCTGGAGGACAGCGTTACTCACCAAGTTCGTAGAGAACGAGGGGAGGTGGAGACCAGACAGCTTACCAGACAGGACCGCCGGACACGGAAGCACAGTGGAAGACCGTGCAAGCACTGGGCCCCCATAGGGGTCAGCCAGTGAGACAGGAACAGGTGCAGGGAGGGGAGTGACTGTGGTACTGTCGCGAAAGAAACAGCGGGAAGCACCAGAGTCAAGTGTAAAGGTGTGCAAAGCCTGTGCAAGCGCAGTACCAAGGGGAGCAGACTCACAAGCACCTAGTGCTGCAGGGGCTATACCAGGGGCTATACCAGGATCCGGCGGCACACACAAGTAGCAGTCACCCTCAGCACTAACAGACAAGGCATACATAGCAGCAAGAATTGCCTCATAGTCAAGATCAAAGATAGGTACATCACGCCTAAGCAAGTCTGCCCAGTTGGGGAACTCAGGAGCATCAGGAAACTTGGCGCGCCAGGCGTCGCTAAGCCGAGCGAAGCAGCGCTGCTCAGAGTGAAAACCTGTGCACTGGCGGCCAGCGCGGGGACCTGTGCGGATGATATAGGGGCAGCGACCAGGACCCCCAGAAGCCCCACGCCTGGCATACCAGTCAAGAAGCTACTGGGAAGTGGGGGTCTGGTGCTGACGCTGATGCTGCTGCTGCTGCTGCTGCTGCGGCTGCTGCTGGCCCTGACCACCAAAGCCACTACCGCTCCCTCCTCCCCCACCGCCGCTGCTGCCCCCTCCACCGCTCCTAGTGCCTCCGCCGCCCCCACCACCACCTCCACCGCCTCCACCCCCACGACCACCCCCGCCACCTCCACCTCCCCCGCCGCCTGCACCACCGCCACCTCCACCGCCACCCCCACCGCCCCTGCCACCCTTGCCGCCCCTGCCGCTGCGACGCTTCCCACTAGGAGCGGAAGCAGCTCCGACCCCCTCAGCACCAAGGTAGTCGTGAGCAGCAGCTGCGGAGGCGTAGGAGGGGGTGAGAGGGGAGGGGGAGCACCCCTCAAAGAGGGGAGAGCGAGGAGTACCGCGAGCAGCACCTACAGCGAGGATGTTCTTCTCTGCTGCGAGGAGGTGCTTCTCGAAGTCGTCAACAGTGAGAGTGGTGGGGTCTAGCGCTAGGAAGTGGTCCCTGACAGAGCTAAGAGTGTTAGGGAGGCGGGTGACGAGGAAATAGAGAGTGAAGTACATCGGGGGGGGTTTGCGGCGCAGAACTCGGCTGAAAGAGCGGCACGAAAGTGAGAGTCAGTAGCGCGTAGGTGAGAAACTAGGTCCTCAGCAGTGGTGAACGAGGAAAGATCGGGGAACAGGTACGGTAGCATGAGTCGACCTATGGCTGCAGTGGCCGGGGAGGAGTAGCGCGCAACTACAGCGTCGTACAGTGTCTTAGCAGTTCTGTGCTGGCTGAAATGCGCTCGCTCAGTAATCGGCAGGTGGTTCCTAATAGCTAGGCGTGCAGCAGCATCACGAGTCTGCCACTGGGAGCGTTCTAGAGCAGGAGCATCAGCAGCAGGAGTAACGGCAGTGCCAGAGACGTAATCAAACAGGGAAACGCCCTCTTTGGCATCAGACAGAAGGAACAGCTGGAGATCGTCTAACCACACAGTGAACTCGATGGGACGACCGTCAGGCTCGAACGCTAGAACGTTGGGCGTCGCCATATTGGCTTAAGGCAGGAGGCAGCAGGCAGCAGACAGAGGCAGCAGGCACCAGGTAGGAGGCAGGTGGCAGGCAGGCGGCAGCAGGCAGCAAGCAGGCAGGCGGCAGCAGGCAGCAAGTAGCAGGTAGGCAGCAGGCAGTAAGTAGCAGGCAGGCAGCAGGCAGGCAGCAGGCAGGCGGCAAGCAGGCGGCAGCAGGCAGCAAGCAGCAGGCAGGCAGCAGGCAAGCAGCAGGCAGGCTGCAGGCAGGCGGCAGCAGGCAGCAAGCAGGCAGGCAGGCAGGCGGCAGGCAGGCGGCAGCAGGCAGGGTGTAGGCAGGCGGCAGCAGGCAGCAAGCAGGCAGGCTGCAGGCAGGCGGCAGCAGGCAGCAAGTAGCAGGCAGGCAGCAGGCAGTAAGTAGCAGGCAGGCAGCAGGCAGGCAGCAGGCAGGCGGCAGGCAGGCGGCAGCAGGCAGCGAGCAGCAGGCAGGCAGCAGGCAGGCAGCAGGCAGGCTGCAGGCAGGCGGCAGCAGGCAGCAAGCAGGCAGGCAGGCAGGCGGCAGGCAGGCGGCAGCAGGCAGGCTGCAGGCAGGCGGCAGCAGGCAGCAAGCAGGCAGGCAGGCAGGCGGCAGCAGGCAGCAAGTAGCAGGCAGGTAGCAGGCAGTAAGTAGCAGGCAGGCAGCAGGCAGGCAGCAGGCAGGCGGCAGGCAGGCGGCAGCAGGCAGCAAGCAGCACGCAGGCAGCAGGCAGGCAGCAGGCAGGCTGCAGGCAGGCGGCAGCAGGCAGCAAGCAGGCAGGCAGCAAGCAAGCAGGCAGGCAGGAGGCAGGCTGCAGGCAGGCGGCAGCAGGCAGCAAGCAGGCAGGCAGGCAGGCGGTAGGCAGGCGGCAGCAGGCAGCAAGTAGGCAGGCGGCAGTAGGCAGCAAGCAGCAGGCAGGCAGCAGGCAGGAGGGCTGCGTGAGGCTGCTGGCTGCGTGTGGCGGCTTGCTGCATAAGGCTGCAGGCTGCGCGTGGCTACGGGCAGCGTGCGCGGCCGCAGGCTGCGTGCGGCGACGGAATGCGCGGGCTGCGGGCTGCGCGTAACGACAGGCAGCGTGCGCGGCTGCAAGCTGCGTGCAGCTGCGGGCTGCTCTGGGCGACGGGCCGCACGTGCGCGGCTGCGGGCTGGTCGCTAAGCCGCGGGCTGCGCTGGGCGACGGGCCACGCTGGCGTGGCCTAACCAGGTTGCGCGCGGGCGGCTTAAGGGGCGCACAGGTGGGGCCGAAACGGGCTGCGCGGGCTGCTAAAGCGGTGCACGTGGGAAAAAAAAAAAGGACCGCCCGAGGCGCGCGCGGGCAGCCGAGGCGCGCGTAGGCACTAGACAAGGCAGGCAAGCGTGGTGGGCCCTAATGCTAGGTCCTAAGGACCTATGCTCTATACCATGTTAGAATCATAGGAAGAAAGTGATGTCGACTATCGAGAGGGTTGGTACAAAGAAGAAAACTAAGGGGTTGTACCCCACAGTGTGTACCCCACTAAGCCTACCCAAACTATAACATATATATACATATGTTTGACAATAGAAGTCCTTTCCATCGAAAGGTGTTGACGTCTGTAATTTTAACTCATGCGCGAATTGTGATTGGACTTGAAGTGCGTCCAATGTATTCTCTTGTCCAGGTGAAGACTGCGGGTGTGGCGCGAAGCTGATGGAGCCATGTTGAGGTTCGTATGGAGCAAATGTGGGTTGATGTTGATTTCCGCGTGCATACGATGAACCGTCAAGGCTCGTTTTAATGGCCGTGTTGTTGTTGTCGCTGTTGTTTGATTGTGCAGGAGCTGCTTGCTGGTGTTGCTCGTAGAAGGACATGAAGGAGAAGAACTTCTCCATCATTCTTGGGTCGAAGCCTGGTGCTTGATTTCGGTCGACTCCGCAGCTGGTCTTGTTGCTATGCCTTCTTCTGTCTGTAGGCCAGAGGCTGGAGGTGGAGTAGGAGTAGTGCCGGGAGATCCGTTAGAGGAGCTCCTCTCCTTCTGTGTTGCCATGCCTTGCGTTGTTGTAGGTATTTGAGAAATCGATCTTGCCATGTTTGCTCTCATACCTACCATGTTGGGCTGAGAAAATAGCCCTTAGGATCTTTCAAGGTTAAGATCAGTTGAAGTAGTAATGTTGTAATTGCGGAAGCGTAATATGATCATTGCTGAACCACCTTGCACTGGTTTGTGAGAACAAGATGAGTTGATAATAGCATGGGAATACAAGGCTTTTATATGACTACAGAGGAATATGAAAGATTCTATTTAAACTGTTTCTGCTGTTGCGGTTCGATACAGTGACGACTCGGGTAACTGCTCAGTATCGAGTCAGTTATGTGTCCTTGCTGTCGCACTGCATTTTTCGTGAGATCAAAGGTCAGCGACCTTTGACCTTCGTGTAACCTCCAGCGGTTGTTTTTGTTGACTCGCGTGTTCTTTCGCTTGTAGTCTGCTCCGTTTCGTGTCGATGCCTCGATTACTTCAGAAGCGTTAAGTTAATTGTTTCCAACAATTCTGTGGTCTGGTACGCCCCCTAGCGCCCTGAGTCATCACGGGATTTAAGATACCAGGTATAGGGGACAGTATATGTTACGGTATCAACAGCGTGTGACGATGTCCCAACTCCCATCAGCTACTAGTAATTGCATCCATGAAATCAGGTAAACAGACAAGTTTCTTTTCAGCCACTTTACAAGAACAAACCTAATTAATCATATCACAGCTTCATGTGCATGCACGCATCACTTGGCCTGTGGGTGCGACGCAATGTAAGCGATGGCATCGGCGCAGGATTGGATTTTATCGGCATCGGCATCGGGGATCTCGACAGCAAACTCCTCCTCAAACGCCATCACCACCTCCACCCCGTCTAGCGAGTCCAGCCCCAGATCCTTCTGGAAGGACGCCGTGGGGGTCACCTGCATGGGGCAGTAGGGTTACACAGTTACACAACGCATGACCGGAAGAAGGGGGCAGAAATGGAATCACCACCTTCACCCCGTCTAGCGAGTCCAGCCCCAGGTCCTTCTGGAAGCTTGCTGTGGGGGTCACCTGCATGGGGGGTCAGCACGGTACACAGTCACACAAAGCATGAAGGGGGGCAGAAATGGAACACCACCTCCACCCCCTATAACGAGTCCTGCCCCAGGTCCTTCTGGAAGTGGGGGCGGGGGTAACCTGAGTGTACACATGGTTACACGAGGCATAAGGGGGGAAAGGCGGCAAGAATGGCATAATTGAGCCACCCAGTCTAGCGCCAGCCCCAGGTGGTTTTGAAAGTGCGCCACAGGGGTCATCTGCATGGGGGATCAGCTAGGTGTATGCACATGGGAAGAACACGGGTGGACATGGAATGGCGACGGGATGATGAAGAGATGATGAGAGGAGGAGATGGCAGGAGCGCAGATGACATGAGCGATGGGAGTCTCAAGTGCAGGGGGGAATAAAAGAAAGAACGCGGAAGGGGAGAACGGAGGGAGGGAGAGCGAATGAGTGGGAGATACAAGGATAGGGATAGTGAGAGAGGGAGGGAGGAAGGGAGGAAGGGAAGGAAAGGCGGTGAGGACATAAGGTACAGGCTGACCACTCACTGACACACCTCACTTTCCCACTCGCCCGCTCCGCTTCCCCAGCGTCACCACCGTTACCGCAGCAAAAGCCGCAAGTAGGTGCGAACCATGCATCTCACGGCCTTACGCCTCGCGCGCAGGCACATCGGCGGAGACACTCAGGCGCGACTCGAATGAGCACCGAACCTGCGGATTCGAGGCACTTGCCGCCCAGCACCAAGACACGCGGGTGAATCACACAACGACGGAGTCGACTCGGCGCCCCGTGCACGCAACCTTCGTTGATCGATGCGAGCGCATCCTCAAATTCGATCTCAAATTCGATCGAACACAGACAGCTACGTGAACCACGACAGCCCAATCACTCAACGCCGCGACAAACTTGCCGCCGTCATTCATCGCGATCTTACCAGTTTCGGATCCACCTTCTGGAACTTCTTAACTACGTTCAGCACGCGCTCCGTGACCGCGTCCTTGTCGAGGTAAGTGCCAGCCGACTCCGCGAACCCGCGGCTCGGGGCTCCGCCGGACGGCGCGCTGCCGACGCGTGACCAGAAGGAGGGCGCCACGGGTAGCCGCACGTGGCCCAGGACGGCGGATCTGACGAGCGCGAAGGCGGCTGCTGGTGCGCGCTGCATTTTGATGGTCGGTCGGCGGATCGACACGTGGCACGATGGATGCGGAGGCTTAAAAAAGTGTGGAGATGGAAAGAAAAGCGGACCGAATGGCGGATGTGGCGGCGGGATTGGCGGAACGGGCAGAAGGGACAGATGGTGGGGTGAAAGCGTGTGCGAGGGTTGTGCAGTTTGTGAGGCGAATGGGGGAAATGGGGGAGGTGGTGGAAGGAGGGGGGTGGCCTGGGGGAAGGTTGTGCGTGGGGGAGCGAAAAGGGGGCAAAAGAAGGGAGCAAAAGAAGGCGAACGAAAGGGGAAGTTGGAGGAGATTCTGTACATAATGCTTTGATAAGTGAAAGGTATCATTTTCATCCAAATTAAATGTTATGTATTTCGCGAGGCTTTGCAATGTGGAGTATACATGTCTCCACATAAAACGAGCTTCAGTTTGGGTTGCCAAGGTGGATCACCTCTGGCCACGGACGAATGTTTAAGCTGATGTGGCACTGGTTTCCAACTGTTCTGGATCCTTTGTGACACGCGTCAGCTGTACGAATTTCAACGTGATGAAACCCAAGTTTGGCTTGGATGACTGAAATGCTACTGGTTGTCTGTGCTGATGTTGTGACGAAGGAGAGTATCGGAAAAATATACTCAAAACGTTCCGACATACCGTATGGCTACCACAGCCACCCATATTGCAACTGAATGTGAATCCGAGCTTTTTGGATGAAGTGTATTGGACAAAAGGGTATGAAACCAGGAGTAGAAGTGTAGCTTGGTACGAGAAGCGGGTTTTCTAAGAGTAACTAGAACCGCAATCACGGGACAGGGGAGCATTCAGTCGGAGATGGTGACACTTCAACTCTTACAGGGTAGTAACTTTCCATCGGGGCTACTAGCCCTAAGATTTGTAAGAACCAAATGAGATTTGTAGGCCGTTTCGTTGCTCACCCCTCCATCCACACTTCGTCACTTCCCCCCACTGTTTCCATCATTCACTCCACGAGATACATTTCATTCTGCACCACCAGGGCCACCGTACTGCAATGGCTGCCACTACTGCTTCCTCTGTTGCTTCCGCCAGCTCCTTGGCTGGCCGTCAGTCGCGCCTAGCAGTAAGCCCCTTTCCATTGTACCCTCACCTTGCCTCTCGCGCGCATTCTCGTCCCTTGCCGCGTATCTTGACCATACGATTGCTTCTATCCCAGTCACCAGCATTCGACACATCGTGTATCTTTGCCTTTGCGCTCGCTCTCTCTCACATTGGTCTCCTCGCCACTCACGATCCCCGTGATGTCCTTTGTCGCCTTGCAGCCGCCTCAACGGCAGACCGTCGCGCCCTTCCTCTCGTCAAGCGCATTCTCCCGCGGCCAATCAGGTGAGCCCATTACGGTTAGCGCTGAACGCATTGTTTCTTAAACGACTTTGGAACCCTACTTAATTTCGCCGGCCCCGTATTGACTCGTGGTGATTGTGAGCTACGGCGGAGCATCACGGGGTTGGCTTGCATGGCACTTTGCGGCATTGCATTGCCGTTGCCGTGTGCCTGCGGAGTTGAGTGGGAGCAAATGGAATCGAGGGACTCGCCACTGCGAAGCGTAACGCATAGACCGTATATCACGAGGCATCACGGCGAGGCACGTACGCAATCACGACGCACCATGGCCAGACACATATATAGTCGCAGCAAAGCGCGATCGCGCATCGCATCCACTCATAGCAGCTGAACTGGCCTGGCCCTAATCTCCCGCACTCGCGTCTTGTACAAAGCCCGCTGCACTCCACTGAGGTGAAAACCCATCCGCCGTTGCCCTCCACATTACCTTCCCTTATCTCCGCCTTCCCTTATCTCTGAAATGGCCCGCCTCAGCTTTGGCCATAGCAAGTGTTTCTCTCTGCCCTTTGCCCACTGTGCGAGAGAATGCGTTCTAATCACTTGTTGCCCTCTTTCCCATTTTCCCGTCTGCAGCACTGCGCGCCAATGCCACGTCAGCAAGGCCCGCTGGCGTGGAGGGGCCGTCTCTCCGCCACGTGGCACCACAAGCTGCGTTGGTGAAGGGAAAGAGGTGAGCTGTGGAGAAGAGAGGAAGAAAGGTCGAATACGAAGGAAAGAATCGCGCTAAGGAGATGCGAAAGAGATGGGCTACGGGGAGAGATGGAGAAACGGAGAGACAATGGTTGATCAGGGATAAATGGGAGAGACAACGGTCAGGAAGGCCTGAGAACGCGCGGATGAGAGGATGGGCTAGCTCGTCTCTGTGATGAGAAGAAGCGGGGCGCGGAGGACAAGGAAGATGAGCGTGACACTTCCACCCTCAACTCGTCCCGGGCCCTTCCTTCCTATGCGTCCCTGTCCCTCTCCACGCGTCCCTGCCCGCCCAAATCCGTTTCGTCACCCCGTTCCACATGCCCTCTCCTCTCCACGCACCCTGCCTGCACCGCCCTTGCTCTTGCGCGCCGTCCCTCCTCCTCATCCCTCCCCCCAGCAACGGGTCGCACAAGGTGAAGGGGTCGGAGAGGCCGGTGATGGCGTACAGGGTGGCACCCCAACTCTAGTGTTTTCCATCCCTTTCTGCCTCGCCCCACCCCCCTCCCCCACTCCCCACCTTTCCTTCCCGTTGCCCCCCTTCCCAGCTACGGCGTGCACAAGGTGAAGGGGTCAGAGCGGCCAGTGATGGAGGACAGGGTGGCGGCGGTTGTGGAGGGGGAGAAGCGCCCGTCCTTCTTTGCCGTGTTTGACGGCCATGGGGGTGCTGCTGTCGCCGAGTGAGTGGGGGGTTGGATGGTGGGAGGGTGTGCATGCTTGTGTGGGGCATCACCGCGGTTGGTTGGTACTGCATGCGCGCACTGAGAAGCGCCCCGCTTTCTTTGCTGTGTTCGACGGCCATGGGGGGGCTGCTGTCGCCGAGTGAGTAGGAGGTGGTTGGTTGAATGGCTGGCTGGCTTTGGGGTGTTTGACTGGCGGTTGCTGAGTTGCTGTGCTGCGAGCTGGTTGCTTTGCTGTGCTGCGAGCTGGTTGCTTTGCTGTGCTGCGAGCTGGTTGCTTTGCAGTGCTGCGAGCTGGTTGCTTTGCTGTGCTGCGAGCTGGCTGCTTTGCTGTGCTGCGAGCTGGTTGCTTTGCTGTGCTGCGAGCTGGTTGCTTTGCTGTGCTGCGAGCTGGTTGCTTTGCTGTGCACGGCTGGACTCTCACTCACGCACTCTCACTCACGCACTCTCACTCACGCACTCTCACTCACGCACTCACTCGGCTTGGCCTGTCTGTCCGTCTCTCCTACATGCGCTTACACACCAGGTTCCTGGAGAAGGAGCTGTGGCCCGCATACAAGAAAGCCATTGAGAGTGAGTGCCGTGCCGTGCTTGCTTGCATGCTTCGCGACTCGTGTGCCTGTGTGTGACAGTCACATGCAAATGTAAATGTAAGTTACTGGAGAAGGAGCTGTGGCCCGCATACAAGAAAGCCATTGAGAGTGAGTGCCGTGCCGTGCTTGCTTCAGTGCGGTTTTACCTTCTTCCCTGCTCCCTTCCTACCTCACCTATCCAATTCATCCAATGCGTTCCTTCCCATTCCCACATCTCCCCATTGCCTGCCACACTCTAGTAAGTGCACTCCCGTTCCCGTGTCTCACCATTGCTACATTCTAAGAAGTGCATGTTCCTCACGCCTCTCCCTCCCTGGCCTCTCCTGTCCTGCACGCCTAATTCGCGCTCCCCACTTCCCACCTGCATCACTCCTCTCCCCATGCTCCCTCCCTTCCACCCATTACTCCATTCCTCCCGTCTCGCCTCCACGCCATGCTCCCTATCCTCATCCGCATCGACCCTGCCCCGATGTGCCCCCTCCCGCACACCTGCACGCCCCCCTCACCCCCAGCCGCGCTGAGCAAGGGCACGAGCCTGGAGAGGGCGACCCTGCGCGCATATGAGGAGGTGGACAAGCGCACTCTGGTGAGCGAGGCAGCAATTCAAGGGCACGGGGCATGGGGCATGGGGGATTGCTGAACAATAGCATGGGGTACGAGGTGAATAGCTGATGAGCAAGAAGGGCTCGGGCTTTTGGAGGGCGACGCTGTGCACGTATGAGGAGGTGGACAAGCGCACTCTGGTGAGTGAATGAGCCTACAAGGCAGACGGTATGCTGTGGGTGCGGGTGCGGGTGGGACGACGAGGGGGAGTGTGCCATGTTAGCGGGGGGCAGTGGTTCCATATCCATTTCCGTTTCTGGTTCCATTTCCATGATGATGATGATGATGATGATGATGATGATGATGATGATGATGATGATGATGATGATGATGATGATGATGATGATGATGATGATGATGATGATGATGATGATGATGATGATGATGATGATGATGATGATGATGATGATGATGATGATGATGATGATGATGATCATGATCATGATGATGATGATCATGATCATGATCATGATGATGATGATGATGGAGCACGGCATGGGCGGCCCCAAGCGCGGCTCCTGCAAATGTTTCCCATCACAGCGTTCTTTCTCCTCTTTCATAACCCATCCCCCCGTCTCCCCCTCCTCCTCCCACACCAGGCGTCCCCCAAGGGTTTTTTTGGTATGATGATGGAGCGTGGCATGGGTGGCCCCAAGTGCGGCGCTTGCAAGTGCCCCCTCCCATCACAGCCTTCTCTCTCCTGTAATGCCCCCCCAAACCGCCCTTTCTTCACTTCCCCCCACACCAGGCACCCCCCAAGGGGTTCTTTGGAATGATGATGGAGCGTGGCATGGGCGGCCCCAAGTGCGGCGCCTGCGCCAACACGGCTGTCATTCTGCCCCAGCCAGGTAAAACCAACAGGGTGCTGCCGCGCCTTCCAGGCAAAGGCAAGAGAGGTGGTGGTAGTTACTCACTTCAGGTGAAAACAACAGTCAACTGTAACTCCTGGTGATAGAAGTGATGTTTCGAAACGTCTCAAAACATAACTTTCATCACGTGGCTATCAACAGTAAACTGTAACTCCTGGTGAGCGCAACATTCATCTGGTTGGTAGCCCCTGCCCGACCCCAACCCTGGCTCGCGCCTTGCTAAGTGCACGCTTGCCTTCCTATCCAGCCACAACCCTCAGTTGCCCACTCCCTCTCTCCCGCCCTCCCTCAGACGGCTCATACCAGCTGGTAGCAGCCAACGTGGGTGACTCGCACACGTACCTGTCCCGGGCAGGCGAGCCCATCAAGCTGAGCGAGGACCACAAGGTGGGGGGTAGAAAGGGTGGGAGGGGAGTGGGTCGCGTTGGGTGGGTGAGTGGGGGTTGAGTGGGTGGGTGGGTAGGTGGGTAAAGGCAGAGTGGGGAATACGAGGTGGCACATACCTGTCACGAGCAGGCACGTGTTTGAAGTAGTGTCCCGGAAAACCAGGTGACTTATGAGTCGACTCAACGGTCCCGTCTCCCATCTTTCCTTTCCCCCTCCCCCCACATCCCATCCCCCGCTCTCGCCCCCTGCAGCCCAACATAGAGGCGGAGCGCATGAGGATCGAGCGCAAGAAGACTGTTAAGTCGACGAGAAGGAGTCTTCACCCACCATCTCCGCATCTCCCATCTTCCCACGTCCCACCGCCCCGCTCCCTCCCCCTGCAGCCCAACATAGAGGCGGAGCGCATGAGGATCGAGCGCAAGAACCCCACCCCCGGACAACCACTGGTATGCCACCGCGACTGCCAGAGAGTCTCCGGGTATGGCAGACTTGCAGGCGCTGGTACGGCAGGCACTGGTATGGGAGGCGCTGGTACGGCAAGCGCTGGTATGGCAGGCTGGCAAGCGCTGGTATGGCAGGCTGCACTGTAGAGCTATGACTGTGGCCCGTCTCACTTGGCCACTGCAACAGACACAGCACCTGCTGCTGCGGCAGGTGCTCCTTCCCCTGCTTGCTAACTCAGACCCCATCAGTGCATGTGACTGTGTGCCCCTAGCTGCCATGGCATGGCGCATGGTGCGGATGGGGTTTGAACCAAGCAACGCCTATGCTGGACTCCCTGCGTCTCTCTCACGCACGCTGCTGCCGGTGCGCATAGTGGGGATGGGTTCTGAGGCAAATCTGATCTCCACTACCCCACACTCCGCCCCTGCTCCCTCCCCCTGTCACGGCACGCCCTCCTGACTGCAGGTGCGCATGGCGGGCGGCGAGTGGCGGGTGGGAGGGCTGCTGGCGCTCTCGCGTGCCTTTGGAGACGTGTACCTCAAGGAGTGAGTCCCGCTACCCTACCCTACCCTACCCTGGGTTCCGACCGAAACGTGAAGTACATAGTGGCTCGCACGGAATGTAGCAACTGGAAAAGGTTTCCAAAGCTGTCGAGGCACCAGAGCTTGCTGCGGTCCGAATCCTTCCAATTCTTTGGAGACGTGTACCTCAAGGAGTGAGTCCCGCTGCCCAGCTGGAATGACGGCACCAGGGACACCTCCTTGCCTCATTGCCCCGTCACCTCCTGACCTCCTTGCCGCATTGCCTCGTCACATCACGCCCTCTCCCTCTTTCCCACATCAGCTGGAGCGATGGCACCAGGGACGGCGCGCGCGGTGGCTTTGGGCTCACTGCTGAGCCCTATGTGACCGTCCTCACCCTCGCCCCTGGTGAGCCTCCCCCCTCTCTCTCGCCTTTTAACCTGCCTTTTGAGTCCACTCAAGAGTCTCTCCGGGCTCATCGCCGCTGAGCCTTATGTGATTTTCCTCACCCTCGCCCCTGCTGAGCCACCTCCCTCTCTCGCCTTCTAACCCTGCCTTTTGAGTCGACTCAAGAGTCACTCCGGGCTCATTTCCGCTGAACCCTATGTGATTTTCCTCACCCTCGCCCCTGGTGAGCCGCCTCTCCCCCCCTCCCCCTCTCTCTCGCATTTTAACCCTGCCTTTTGAGTTGACTCAAAGGCCACTCGGGGCTCACTGCTGAGCCCTATGTGACCATCCTCACCCTCTGCCGCCTCCCCTCTCTCCATCTCTCCCTCTCTGCCTCGCTCCTTCTCTCACACGTCAAAGGCACCCAGGTGCCGTGGGTGGTTGCACTCATTTGCCAAGCCACCCCTTCCCCATTCCTCATTCCCTGCATGCCACACGTCGTGTTGCTCTTCACTGTGACCTTACCCTCTCTTTGTGTGCCTTGCTGACGTGGCAGGCGATGACTGGCTGATCATTGGCTCGGACGGGCTGTGGGACGCGGTGAAGAGCCAAGAGGCCGTTGACCTGTGCCGCAAGCAGGGGTGCGTTGACTCTCTCTTCATGCTTTCTGTCCTGTCCCCTCCCTCCCTCATTCTCCCCCCCTCATTCTCCCTCCCTCATTCTCCCCCCCTCATTCTCCCTCCCTCATTCTCCTTCTCCCTCACCTCATCTGCTCATTGCCCTTCCACGCTGCTTCATATTGTCTTGCCCAGGACCCCTTATTTTGCTCGTCATCCTGTTTCTAAATATCCCCCTTAAAAGCAGACCCGAGGCACAGCTGGACGCAGTGGCAGCAGAGCTGATAGGCATGGCACAGAAGAGAGGGTCAACAGATGACATCAGTGCCGTGGTGGTGCGCCTTCCCACCGCTGATGCTGCCCCTGCTGCTGCGCAACAGTAGGTATAACTAGATAAGCTACAGTACTTCACATCGACCAGGCATTGGAGTTATTGAGCGGGGCACTCACATTCAAACCATGTCAGGCCTCTGCCAATCACATCCATACTGACAGTGGAGCACAGCATGGTGGCTGTGCAGCCTCTGCCAATCAACTGCTGAAGCTGCAAATGCTGGCTGCCAAACTGTAGGCCATTGGTTGGTACTCTGCTCAAGATGCAGTGTGTTTCGAAAAGCATGGTATAACAGTCGCAGGTTGATTGGCAGCCAGGCAGATATGGGAGCTGATGTGGCATGGTGGTGCTTGTACATGCAAGTGCCTTGGCTGCCTCTAGGGTACCGGTAGGTGCTGTTTGATGTAAGGTATCCATAATTGTATTGTACAAGCAAGCGCATATGCTAGATGGTGTACATGGCACACAATTAAAGCCCAATACAGTTACGGTAGTGCAGCAGCAACCAGACCCCAATGCGGCCAGAGGAGTGTGCAGAGATTCACTCTAACAAATGTCTCAACCAATCAGCTGGGTGGAAAAAAAACAACTCTCAAATGACTCCACTCCACAATGACAGTCCTCTCCTCTCCCTCCTGGCAAGTACACTTGGTGGAATACATTCCTTCCTTAGGCTGATAAAGAAGGCATAAAATCATTGACGACATCACAGTGAGAAACCCCCCGCTTCCCAGTATCTGTAATTGGTGGAATAAGCTTGAGGCGACACCACCAGACCTCTCCCCTTCCTTGCCCCTCTATAAACCGTCAGCTGAAAAGCAAAATGAATAATAATAAATTCCTAAACAGCACCACAGTGACATGACAAACAACCCTCCACCCACTCCCCCCCTCTTCTCCCCCTCCCCCTTCCTAGTATCTATACTTGGTGGAATAATCTTTAGGCGACACCACCAGACCTCTCCCCTTCCGCGCCCCTCTATAAACAGTCTCGACAATATCCGTAAACTCCTGCTTGTCCTTTAGCGCCCAGTTAATCTTATTATTATTTCCGGTGCCCAGGTCGATCATGATGTGCTTGTTGCGGAAGAAGAACATGACGGTGCAGGGGTCGTAGAGCTCATACATGGTGTTGAAATCAGGCACCTCGGAGATGTCTACTAGGTAAACCACTGCGAAGTTTTTTATGGTTTCTGCCACTCCTGCCAGCACCTCGTCCATCTGATTGGTGGGGCACGGGGGAGCAACGGAGAGACGGATGGAGAGCAGAGAGAGGGGAGGGTGAGGAGCAGAGGGAGGGGGGAGATATTAGTGCAGGGATGGTAGAGCTCGTACATGGTGTTGAAACCTGGTAGTTAAAATATATCCACCACCAGATATACACCACTGCAAGTTCTTGATGGCCTTCACCACCTCTGCCAGCACCTCGTCCATCTGATGAGCGTGGGACGCGGAGCCGGGGGGTGCAATGCAAGGGAGGGAGGGATAGGGAGCGGACGGACGGGAGAAGGCTATGGCACAGGGGTTGTAAAACTCGTACTTGATTTTTTCAATAAGGTATTTCTCTTACATAGTGCCGCCCGGCACCTCTGGAAAAAAAAAAAAAAAAGATGAAAAAAAATCGTCTTTCAAGGCGCCTCAAATGCAGGGTGATGGCTACAAGGAGATGCTGGGCGGAAACGTTGAGCAGCACGGGGAAGAGCAGGGGAGGGTGAACGGTGGGGGGAGGGGGGAAAGGCTGGAGGGAAAAAGGTCAGGGAAAGGAGGGAAGGTGTGGGGGAAAGGTCGGGGGGATGGTAGAAGGGTGAGGGGAAGGGGGGAAGGTGGAGCGGAGGGGAAAAAGGCGGGGGGGGAGGGGAAAAGGCTGGAAGGAGAGAAGAAACAGAGGAGGTAAGAAGAGTGGAAGGGGGGAGAGAGGTGGGGGAGAGGGAGAGGAGGACAGGAGGGGGGAATTTTGGCGGGAGGGGGGAGCGGACGGAAGGGGTGAAGGCAGGGGGGGAACGGGGGAAGGTGGGGGCGCAGGGGGAAGGCGGGCGGGAGGGGGAAGGTGGGAACCAGAGGGGAAGGTGGGAACCAGAGGGGTAGGTGGGAACCAGAGAGGAAGGTGGGAACCAGAGAGGAAGGTGGGGGTGAGGGGAGAAGGTCGAAGGGGAGAAGATGGGGTGAAGGGGGGAGGTGGGGGAGAGAGGGGAAGGTGGGAACGAGGGGGTAAGGTGGGCAGTTCAAAGTGGGCGCAAATAGGCGGGGGGGAAGGTGGAGCAGAGGAAGGGCTCGTACAGGGCAGAAACGGTGGGAAAGAGGGGAGGGAAGGGCGAGGCGGAGAGGGGCGCGGGTGAAAGGCGCGGGATGAATGAGGGCGAGGAACGCGGGAGCGAGGGAAGAGGTCAAGGTGAAAGGGAGAAGTGGTTTGGACGGATGGTAAAATCCCACATATTTTTTTCCCCATCCCCAATCTCCCACGTGCTTCTAGCTCCATGCTGCGGCATGTTCCGCGCTCCATCTCGTATGCTCTTTCCATCGCTCTACACAAGCCGCCCCACCTGCATGCACACGTCATCCCCCCTGAATGCACACGTCATCCTACCTGCATGCACACGTCACCCCACCTGCATGCACACGTCATCCCAGTCGTGGCCGAAGCGGATCACGACGACGCGATCCTCCTCCGACAGAATCGCCTGATCCACGGCCCACCCGCTGTGCAGATGCGGTAACAGGTACGACATCGCGACGTCGCCCGGCGACAAGTGGCGACAATTGGCGACGGAAGACGACGGCCAGGCGACGGAAGGTGTAGGACGGCGAAGGAAGTCGACGGAAGGCGACGGATACGCCGATACACCTACTGCGTGTGGCGACAAAAGCTGCTGATCGAGCGACGGCAGGCGAAAGACACCGAAGAACCCACTAACAGAATGGAATTCAGGGTCGACTGTCAAACCGTGGCACTCAACCCTGCTTTTGTCATGGGCCAGGTTCCAGAGGAGAGTAATTCGGGTCAGGTGCGAGGGTAAAGGTTAAGGTATTCGGGTCAGGTGCGAGGGAGTGTTGGAGAAGCAAAGTTTCTGGAGCAGCAAGCGGGAACGCTGGCGACAATTTCAAGGCTTCGCGAATTGTTCAGAAGCTTCTGCAAGGAATCAGATTTCAGGAGTTTCATTGCTGCTCGTAACTGTGTGCGAAACCCCGCTAGAGTCGCATGCGTTACATCCAACAGAAACGATGCAGAATATCATCGACTAGTCGCAACGATGCGCTGAAATTGCATAGGAAGAAGGTTCAAAACAATTGCAAGTCGAATTCTACCCAATCACCAGGGCCCAAAATTGGTTTAGGCCCACCCTCACAAATCAGGGTTGCAGCTCCTCTTTACCCTGAACCGTTGTGTAATTTTTTTCATACCCTGTTTGCATCAGGGTAAATCAAGGATTTCTGCATGGTAGCCTGATTTGAGCAGGGTATTTCTACAGATAGCCTGTTTCCAATACTACTTTGTCTGTTACGTAATTTCTTCAGTATTAATAAGGTTGCACAAACATCACAACTACTCAGTTGATGCGTAGTACAGCAAGAAGCTGTCCTTGACGCGCAACTCTGCTCACCTGGTAGTGGGATGGGCGTGGTTTGGCTCGATGCAGGGTTGCAATGGCAGTCCTGCGGGTAAGACAGCCAATAAGGCCACATGGTGAGCCGCCGACAACATTTCACGGTTTCCCGCCTGTGGTCACCAGCGACAACGGTGCCAGTGTGAGAGTGGGACATTTTGGCACCACGAAAAGAATGGGCTGATTCGCGTTAAAAATAGTTTCAGTAACCGGGTAGTCGTCACACAACGCTGATTCCGTCAGGCTAACTAAAAATCCAATCAGGGGAAAAAAACAGCAACACTTTTTGGGTAAGGGTAAGAATCTACGAAGCCTGCTTTAAAAATGGTAACTCTGAAAAAGCGGCCCGCCCCCAGGGTAATCAAGGCATTTTACCCTGATATTTTGGGCCCTGCCAATCACCTTCTGTTCTTCCGAGCTTAGAATACTCCACACGGGGAGACTACTTAGTTACTGCCACAATGGCCGAGTCACAAAAACAGAGTGCTTGGGCGTATGACAGGGCGTCACTGACGCAAGACGTTTCATTCTAGAAAATACGTTGCATACTACCGTTAGATTCGCCTACAGTTTAGGTTAACGAGGTCACGGTCGCTCGCTCCATAGCATGTCGTACCTACGGGGTACTAAGGGCAGGGCCGTGAGGCTCCGTAGTGGGGGCGTGCGCGGAGGCGTCTCCCGCCTCGCGGCGAAAAAAAGCATGCGAGAGCGAGCATATGCGAGCAAGCATGCGAAAGCGATCATATGCGAGCAAGCATGCGAAAGCGAGCATATGCGAGCAAGCATGCGAGAGCGAGCATATGTGTAACAGTGCAGCAGCCGAATGCTGCCAACTGCAATGCAGGTGGGCGGAAGTCAATCGTGTCAGATTTATATGACATAGCTACTGTAGGCTATAGTGGGGTAGCACATATGGGGTACAGTTTTCTAGGGTTTGCTTTTGTACCCAACTTTCCCTTAGTCAATTCATTCCTCATTTCTTTACATGGTATAGAGCAGGTTCCCTAGTGGGAACGCTTCCTTGGGCCCACCACTGAAACCTTTTTTTTCTGACCGGAGCGACAGTCGCTCCTGCCCGAGGCGCGCCTTGTGGGCCGCCCTTCTGTCGAGCTCTCTTAGAGGCCCCTCTCACGGCCCCTCGCGCCACCCTTAGCGGCCCCGTCGCCGCCCCTAGCGGCCCCGTTGCCGCCCTTCCAGGCCCCTTGCGGCCCCTAGCGGCCCCATTGCCGCCCCTACGCGGCCCCGTAGCCGCCCCTAGCGGCCCTGTCGCCGCCCTTAGCGGCCCCGTTGCCGCCTCCCTCCCTACGCGGCCCCGTCGCCGCCCCTAGCGGCCCCGTCGCCGCCCCTACGCGGCCCCGTCGCCGCCCCTAGCGGCCCCGTAGCCGCTCCCCTCCCTACGCGGCCCCGTCGCCGCCCCTACGCGGCCCCGTCGCCGCCCCTACGCGGCCCCGTTGCCGCCCCTAGCGGCCCCGTCGCCGCCCCTAGCGGCCCCGTCGCCGCTCCCCTCCCTACGCGGCCCCGTAGCCGCCCCTACGCGGCCCCGTCGCCGCCCTTACGCGGCCCCGTCGCCGCCCCTAGCGGCCCCGTCGCCGCTCCCCTCCCTATGCGGCCCCGTCGCCGCCCCTACGCGGCCCCGTCGCCGCCCCTAACGGCCCCGTCGCCTCCTCCCTCCCTACGCGGCCCTGTCGCCGCCCCTACGCGGCCCCGTCGCCGCCCCTAGCGGCCCCGTCGCCGCCTCCCTCCCTACGCGGCCCCGTCGCCGCCCCTACGCGGCCTCGTAGCCGCCGAGCCGCCCAGCAGCTGAGCCGCCGAGTCGCCCAGCAGCCGAGCCGCCCCTGGAGCAGCCGCCACTGCAGCAGCCGCCCCTGGAGCAGCCGCCACTGCAGCAGCCGCCCCTGGAGCAGCCGCCACTGCAGCAGCCGCCCCTGGAGCAGCCGCCACTGCAGCAGCCGCCCCCAGAGCAGCCGCCACTGCAGCAGCCGCCCCTGGAGCAGCCGCCTCTGGAGCAGTCGCCCCTACAACTGCCGCCCCTGGAGCAGCCACCCCTGCAGCTGCCGCGGAGCTCTCGCTCTACAGTGGTAGCGGCCTCGCCGTTGCCGCCGTCGTACGCCTGCCCTTCTCGCCACTGGTGAGCACTGCCCTGCCCGTACTGCTGTTACTGCTGCTCTTACTGCTGCTGCTCTTTCTACTGCTACTGCTGCTCCTGGCGTGGCCAGATGCAGCTCCAGCGTCGCCCGCGTGAGTCCCTCACCTCCCAACAGCTTCGTGCGTGGTACGCTAGTTGGGGTTGTCGGGGTGGCCGTAGTGGGAGTCGTCCTGGAGTGAGTAGTTCCACAGCTGCTTGTAGTGGCCAGGTGCAGCTGCAGCGTCGCCCGCGTGAGTCCCTCACCCCCCAACAGCTTCGTGAGTGGTACGCTAGTTGGGGTTGTCGGGGTGGCCGTAGTGGGAGTCGTCCTGGAGTGAGTAGTTCGGCAGCTGCTTGTAGTGGCCAGGTGCAGCTTCAGCGTCGTCCGCGAGCAGTCCTTTCGCCCCAGCAGCTTCGTGAGTGGTACGCTCAGCATGACGGGTCACGGGGTACTGCTCGCTGTCCGTACGTCATTCGCACTGGTGCTCGGACTGGTCAGCCTTGCGGGACGTTGGGTCACGCAGAGTCCCGCTGCTTCGCCCGTCTGAGCGACGCCTGGCGTACGGAGTTTGGCGACGCGGCTGAGCTCCCCGACTGGGTGGAGCTGCTTCGGCTGCGGGTAGATATCTATACTCTTGACTATGATGCTATCCTCACTGCCATGTATGCATTGCCTACTAGTGATGAGGGTGACTGTTACCTGTGTGTTCCGCCTGACCCGGGCATTGAGGCTGCTGCTCTAGGTGCTGGTGAGGCTGCTGACTCTGGGGGTGCTGAGCGTGTGGGTGCTACGCCTGGGGGTGCTGAGCCTGAGGGTGCTACTACTGGGGGTCCTGAGCCTGGGGGTGCTGAGCCTGGGGGTGCTACTACTGGGGGTGCTGAGCCTGGGGGTGCTGAGCCTGGGGGTGCTACGCCTGGGGGTGCTGAGCCTGGGGGTGCCACGCCTGGAGGTGCTGAGCTTGGGGGTGCGGAGCCTGAGGGAGCTGGGCCTGCTCGTGTGGCGTCTGGCGGTGCTGAGCCTGGAGGTTCTCCGGGTGCTTCGTCTCGGCGGGAGCCACTCTCTCCACAGGAGCTGCGCGAGTGGTTTGCCCGGCGCTGGAGGCGTGCTGCTGGAGCTGGAGGTTCTTCGGCTGCTGAGGGTGCTGGTGCCGCGGGTCCCGGAGGTGCTCGTACTGGGAGTACTGGAGCTGCTGGGCCTGCGGGTACGACTGGAGCTGGAGCTGCTGAGAGTGTTGGCGCTGAGGCTACTGCTGTCGGTCCTGGAGGCGGTCCTGCTGGGGGTGCTACTGGTGCTGCTGGAGGTACTGGAGCTGGAGGTGCTGCTGGCGCTGGTGCTGTCGCTGGGGGTACTGGTGCTGTCCCTGCTGTGTCTAGAGTCGCCGCGCGGCCTAGGCCGTACTTCGTTCCGCTCCTTCAGCAGGTTCTTGGTCTCCCGCCTTCTACTGGTCCTCCTCCTCCCTTCGAGTGTCCACAGCCTGTCCCGTCACAGTTACAGTTACAGCCGGCCTCCCCACTGCCCGCTCCTTCTCCCTACACTGGTCCTACTGGAGGTCTTGCTGAGCGTCGTGAGCCTGCGTCTCGCCCTGCGTCGCCTGTCCGTGCTGCTCGCCCTAGTGGTCGTGGTTCGCGTCAGCGTCCTCCTCCTGTCCCTGGCACGCACCGGATGTCTCTGCGTCCGTCCACTGCTCCTCTGCGTGCCCCTTTGCCTTCTCCTCCTGAGTCCTCTCTTCCTGCTCTTCCTGACCCGGAGTCGGACTCTCTTCGTGCTGCCAGTCCTACTGTCACGCGTCTCCTTGCTACTGTTGTCACTGACCCTTCCTTTGAGTCCACTGCTGCGTCTGCCCTAGTTACTGAGCTCGTCGACTTTGCTGCTCGCTGTCGTCTAGACTACGCTGCTAGTCTTGTTGTTGAGTCTGAGTCTGTCTATCCTCCGTCCGTCGGGGGTGAGTGTGCCCATGGCACGGACGTCCTTGAGGACAGGCAGGAGGAGTTCCAGTGT